TGGAGCATATTAAGCCGTCAAACATCAGGGGGTATCCTGTTATTCAGTAAAGGATGTGAAAATATTTTTTTTGAATTATTGTAGCCCGTGAAGCATCTTTTGTGTGAAGGATAATTGCTTTATAGCATAACAATTCTCAAAACAAGAAAAGTGCTGTGGCAGAAAGGGATATTAGCTGTCAAAACTGTCTAGTCCCTGGTCTAGTTACAGTATCTCCTCTAAACATTGGATAGACACATCTCTATAATGAATTACCATTTGTAATGGAAAGGAATGCAACCAAATACAAATATATTATTAATTCATAAAAATGCGCATGTGCATCACCTGTCTTAACTACGCCTGAGTCATTCAGCCTGCTGGTGATCGAATTAAAAGTTGCCATTGTTGTGAGAAAAACGAATTCCAGAGTTTCTTCAGTGGTGTAGCAATAATAGTGCCCATATTTATGTATTATTATACATTTTTGTTTTGTCCCCTTATTATACGGGTTATTATATATCATATGATGAAATGGAATAGCAAACGACAATATTTAAGTATACTCAACAGAATACATATGTATTCATATATGTTTTTATATTCCCTGTCCAGTATTGTCCCTCTCCGTCAAAACAGAGCTTAAGTATTAATTACATGACAAAATATAATAAATACAAAATTGTTGTATGAAAATATTATTGTTACTATTGCCGTGTAAAGCATCAACGAGCTGATTGCGCATCTCTTCGGTTGACACACCAGAAACAGATTACCAGATTTACAACTTTTCATAATACTACTCTATTCCTTTTGTTACGGCTTGCTTTGCTTCTTTTCAACAAAAGACATGAACTTTTTGAATATTTTTGGCTAGCGATTTTCACTAATAACCCTCCAAAACTGCATAGACTAAAAACCACGTTCAACATTCTCCCTTGTTGGCGGCGGAATCTATAAGGACTCACCAGCACACAGCCAATCGGAAACCAGGATTTCTGTAACTCCTCTTCTTACCAAACTTAAACATGTGGAATTACTCAAGAAATCAACCGGAATGAAATTTACACACATACACACACTGGGGCGCGCACACACACATGCGCGCGCGTGTGCACACACACACACACACAAGGACACAAAACCTATTGTCAAAGATTTCTGGAACAAAGTATACATAAGTTACATTTTATATCTAATAATCTATATGTACTGTATACATACTGTATGTTACCAGAAATTGCATTGCTTTGTAAAAAAACAGTTATGGATAGATGATTCGCTGTTTGCAAATAATATTATAAAAAAACTGGAAATAGAAAACGGTATGTGCTGTAATATAATGCAATGTTATGTAATGTGCTCTCAGACTTCCACCTATTGACTGCCTCCTGTTCGCGCCATAGACGCTATCACCTCAGTTGCACCGGAAGCTTCAGCGCCTCCCGCTCGCCGGTGCTGTCAACCGAAGTGATTTACAGATATCCAGAAAGTTCATTGCATCGACAGACAAAACTGTTTCGTTAAACAACACAAATTCCACAAACTATGATTAACTGAAAGTCCCGTGACAGAAGGCATGTTTGTCTTCATTGTACTGTCTTAATTAAGACAGTATTTAATTAAAGTAGGCCTATACAATTGACATTCAGCAATAATAAATTAATTATGAGCTACTGTCCACAAAATTATCCACAATTTCCAATACATAGATTCAGGAACAGTATATGTACAACTGACAAACAGGACGCTGAATCTTTTACAAAGCACAGCAAACAGTTTCGAAGGAACTGTAAACGTTTAACGTTACGAAAAGCCGAAGCTATTAAATACATCCCTCCTCTCTCCCAAGTACTGGTGGGCGTGGAATTCTGAAGTTCATTCTAAGCGTGAAGGGTCTTGAGTTCATTGTACTGATTGTCTTTGCTGAAGAAAGACCTAGACCGGAAAATGGTGAGATAACTATTGAGAATTTACAAACATGATTTGTTAAAGTCTCATTTTCAAAATATCTTTGTGTAAAAGGTACTTTTTATAGTAAGTTGTACAGTAAGTAGTTTTAGCATTTTGCTTTTCGTTATTTAGCCGGTGTACTTTATGATTGATGTCCTGTGACGACCTGAATTTAGAAAAATAACGTGAAATTGTTCATTTTTCTGAATATTATGCATGTTGTTCTTCAATTTTAGACTACTTACACTGACAAAGGCGAAAAGGTATGTGATGTTAATCATTAGCAGTAATTTCATAACTGTAATTATCTCCACGAATCCCATGAATCTGACAAATATTATGAATATTTTAAAACAATTTAATATATATTGCTTTACTTACATCAATTGTGCCATGCTATAAGGTATATCAATAATTTAGTTAGAGAACAGATGGAATTCTTGACCAAATGGCAATCTGTCCTCAGAAGCAGGTGGACAGATTCAGATTCAGATTCTGCTTCTTTCAAAGCAACAGCATATAAGTGTATAAATTCATAATTGTGAGAATTTCTCTGGCTTAAAGTCAGCTAAATGACTGAATGTTTCTCTTTTTTTGCTCTTCAGCATGAGCAAGGCAGGTTTGTCTGCTTTGACCACATCACATTCTGGGTCGGCAACGCCAAGCAGGTAAGAGGATGCCTTTTAAGGATCTTTGACATCTGCCCCCCCCCCAACCCCCCCTACCCCCACCTCCCCCCTCCCCTTAAAAATTTTAGAGGTGTTCTCCCTCAAGAAACTGCTATTGGTTCTTCGAAGGGGTGGGGGTAACTAGCATAGCCATGGCCATAAACCACACCATCCTCTTGCTTTTAATTGGATCCACATTGGAGCCTGAGCCAACTTCATCTGTGACCAAGGGGGGCGCTGTCCCCTCTCAAACAGCATCAAACACATCCATGCACATCTGGGACCTACAGAGTAGAACACTTGCTGCAGATAGATAGGGCATGGTTTTTTGTTTGCTTGTTTTTTTGAAATATGGCAGATGCACATGCAGAAAGCAAAATCCACAGTGTTAATTCAACAATATATTGTTCATTTCTAAGTGTGTATATTGTCCCACTTTTTTACACTTATACCATTGAATTAACAATATTTATTTTGCTGTGTATTTTCATCAGAATATTTTGTTATTCTGCACAGGTCTGAATGAAAAGGTGGGCACAAGGTCCCAAAGAGATAATATAATTCTGTGATATAATTAAAGAGACCTTTTTTTCCTTTTCAACACTCTTGTCTTGACTAACACTATATCCGTCCATGTTACACAATGCATTTGTCATGATGAACAATATGTCTGTAATACGGATTAAACCTACTGACACTGCATCTGTTTGTGGAGTGTGATGCATACCTCTTCATAGCAGATACTCTCACCTCTGCCAAACAGGCGGCTTCCTTCTACTGTAACAAGATGGGATTCGAACCCTTGGCATACCAAGGCCTGGAGACGGGCTGCCGAGATGTGGTGTCCCATGTGGTGAAACAGGGGAAGGTGGGTGTTACGGCTTTTCCTAGCCAGTCTCATACACACATATATAGGGCACAATGTAATGCTATCAGATGAGTCAGGATGTGATGAGGAATGTCTTGCATCTTAGAGAAAAGTCTTCTAAAATATGATATTTTAAAGTGTGAAATTAGTCTAAATTTACTGAGCATTTTATTGAATCAATATACAATATACACCAAGTCAAAATTTTGTCACTTTTTTTAGAGTAATGGCTGGTAGGAGGCCTGTGACAGTGTTTACCTGTACACATTGCATTTGCCTTCTCTTTTGCAGATCATTTACGTCTTTTCTTCAGCGCTCAACCCGGGAAACAAAGGTACGGGGGTTAGATAAAGGCTCAGAGCTTACTGTACTGCATGGAAAAACAGTCTGATTTGAAAAATCATTGTAACAATCTCTTACCCCTTCACTCACACCTCCAACCGTAATCCAGAGATGGGGAAACACCTAGTGAAGCACGGGGATGGAGCAAAAGACATCGCATTCACAGTGGAGGACTGCGACTTCCTGGTAGAGGTACTGCTGCGCTTTGGCTAGACCGTTTTGCCTCTGTCCTGCGCTGCCCCGCTCGGCGCCGGCAGCTTGACCTCTGTGTCCTGGCGTGACTTGCCAACTCGGTCCCCCACAGAAAGCGCGGCAGCGTGGAGCTGTCATCGTGAAGGAGCCATACGTGCTGGAGGACAAGCATGGATGGGTAAAGCTGGCTGTACTGCAGACAGTAAGAAAATTATTATTTTTTTCAATAAAAAACTTTAAAAATATATTAAAATATATTTAGAGAATTTATTTATTAATTTATGACTGTTTTTGCATGCACAAAATGTGGTACATGTTTTAGACCCTGTGAAGTGAATTGCGCAATTTTATTCATTTATTTCACATATAATTGCATAGTGAGAACATAATCACATAATGGGGATACTTGCAACCATTTTTAACCATTTTTTGTTAGCGCTACAAGTGACTGCTGCCCCTAAGAAACCTCACGCCTGTTTGTGCCAGAGGACAAATGAGGGCATTGTACCACCCCTAAATCCTATAGGCTGATATAAGAGGAGTATTCAAAGGATGACATCATCCATACCATTTAAACCACTTCTGTCAAACATGTGTTATCAATCAGCTTTTTATTGTGCTTTTATTTTAACAAGTTATTTGTTAAAAAAATCTTGATAGTTTGCTGAATGCCATTCAACAATATTCCAACATTTTAAAAAACAGACACTTCACAAGTAAACCTTTGATAAGTGATCAATAGTGCACGAGCTTGTTCAAACTGTACATTACATTATTGTCATTTAGCAGACACTTTGATCCAGAGCGACTTACACAGTCTACAACTTTTACCTGTTACCCATTCATACAACTGAATATTTACTGAGGCAACTGTGGATTAAGTACCTTGCCCAAGGGTACAACAGCAGTGCCCCAGCATGGAATCGAACCAGCAACCTTTTGGTTACAATCTTTGCTCCTTACCACTATGCTGCACTTGGTCCCACAAAGGAAATACATGTTTCTGCCCGGGTTCAAAACGAGGATCTTTCATATGGTAGGCGAACATGATAACCACTACACTATAGAAACGCTGTAGCTTACATTTTCATCGTAGTGCAGAACCACTGTAGAGGGGAAATTTATTTCAAACCTGCCTTTCTGTCTTACCTTTGGTGAGTGCATGCATAATGGGTTAAAGAACTCGACTTGGTACAGTGGAATCAGAGACGCTGTGCCTGTGAAACTCTCTCGCTGGGGTCATTGAGCCCGGCCTGCTGGTGGGTGCTGGTGAACATTTCTCCCTCGTCTTTCCCGGTGGAGTGACAGCTTTCTCTCCCCTCTCCACAGTACGGCGACACCACACACACATTGGTGGAGAGGACCAACTACAAGGGGTTCTTCCTGCCTGGCTTCCAGCTGCCCCTCTTCCACGATCCCCTGCTGGCCAAACTGTGAGTGTGAACAAATCAGAGGGGTAGGGAGGATAGTAGATTGCATTTTAGACCAGTTGTAAATGGGGCTAGAATAAGGAGTAGGTGTGCTTTAAATCAGGTCTAGAGAGGACGGTAGACTGAGGAGTAGGTGTATTTCAGACCAAATGTAAATAGGACTACAATAACGAGTAGGTATGTTTTAGATTGTAGAACAGGTATGTTGTACACTAGGTGTAGATAGATGTAAACCAGGTGCAGATATGTCTTGAACAAAGAGTACTTTAGACCAGGTATAGAAACAAAGATAGACTGAGGAGAAGGTGTACTCTAGACCAAGCATTGATAGGTCTGATGTGAGTAGATGTGTTTGATAGCAGGTGCAGGGAAGACTGTCAGGTAGTGTGCTTCGGTAGGTGGATTTTAAACCAGCTGAGACTGAGAGACTGAAACCTGGACAGTGACTGAGAAGGACAGAGGCAGTGAGAAGTAGCCGGGTCTGATTCTTGGACACATTCCTTGTCCCCGCAGGCCAAGCGGGAAACTGGACTTCATCGACCACGTGGTGGGAAACCAGCCCGACAACGAGATGGTCCCTGTGGTGGAGTGGTATATCACCGGCCAGCCTTGGCAGCTGGGCCTCATTACGATACACCCTGTTCACCTCGTCCCACTCGCACACCGTGAACAGACAGACACGAGCTTCCGCTAGGAACAGAGAGACACAGTCAAACACGCACGCAGGCGCACATGCACGCACAAACACATGCACACACGCACAAAAATGTCCTCAAAGTCTGTACAGTGATGTAAAAAGAGGGTGGTCCTTTAGGAATCATATGCCAGATAATTTCTCCAGACTGCCTTGACCAATGTGCACAGAGCCAGGTCCCCTCCTCGAGTTTCACCACGGAGACACGGGTCTGCGGAGGAGGAGGGAATCTTGCGCAACAGCGAATGCTTGGCACAGTTGAAGTGTGACCGTGACTCTGCAGTTTTTGGCCTGGGTCTCCCAGGCACCATTGCATCTGGAGTGAGTTACTGCTCCGCACTGTGCAGTGCTGAGATCAAACAGATCCCAGGGACCAACAGCAGCAGCTGCTCTCCAACTGATCCGGCACAAATGTTCACCCGAGAGGAGACGGAAAAGCCATCTCTCACTTCTGTCTAGTCCCCCCACCCCAAAATCCCACATGAAGGTGCCTGAGCTGGTGTTTTTCCTGCAGGTACCAGAAGAACCTGCTCTTCCACCGGTTCTGGTCGGTGGACGACAAGCAGCTGCAGACGGACTTCAGCGCCCTGCGCTCCATCGTGGTGGCCAACTACGAGGAGACGGTCAAGATGCCCATCAACGAGCCCGCCATGGGGAAGCGCAAGTCCCAGATCCAGGCAGGTCTCCCACAGATCGGCACGGCACCCACCCCGGTTTCCCGAACCCTGGTCTCCCCAGCTGACATATCTGTTCCCCTCTCCCGCAGGAGTACGTGGACTACTACGGAGGTCCAGGGGTCCAGCACATTGCCATGAACACGTCGGACATCATCACAGCTGTGAGTAGACAAACACAGACACAAGTCCTCCAATCCACACATGGGTTACAATCTTCAGGACCTCCTCAGGGGTGGAGCTACAAACACATAAATACCATAGTGGCTCCATTCCTTAAAACTCCATGCTCAGACATATATCCATCAAATAGAAAATATAATATAAACATAACAGAATCAGATAATATAAAATATAATAAAATCAGAATCTCTCAAAGTAATTCTTGATCTGTAGAAGGGGCTTTTGTGTCATTAGAATGTCTAAAACTGTAGTTTACTCCCTGTGTATGTGTTCCTTCACAACCCCATACTAGATGATTATTTCACAGATCATACAGAACTTTGGATGATTAAGACAATGATTTATATGTAAATCATAAATGTATCACTGTTTATGTTTATTTATGTAATGTTTATGTATGTAACTCCTAATAACTATATAAACATATAAATTAAATTTTTAAATGTATGAAAAAAACATACCAAATCATATATTATATATTTTTATATTCAAAATAATATAATTACATGTAAACCATTCAAAGATCTATGACTTTTCAATTCATAAAATGTAATTTGCGATGAGGCCTATGAAGTCTAACTGTATGTATATGAAGAAGGTAAAAGTGGAGAAACCAGTTAACCTTCACAGCAAGGCAGTCAGTTGTTTATGAATGAGAACTTTTCTGCTGTGACTTCTACAGATTCGGAACCTGAAGGAGCGTGGGATGGAGTTCATGACCGTGCCCAGCACTTACTACCAGCAGCTGCGACAGAAGCTGAAATTCTCCAAAGTCAAGATCAAGGAGGACTTAGACACCCTGGAGGTGAAGCACACTTGCCATTCTAGGCTTACATTCAATCAATATTTCTATAAACCAATTACAAATAACATGTTTTTTTTAAGCTGACAACATTGTAACACAGTCATTTTTTTCTAATCCTGGTCCCAAAATAAAACAGTAAAAGCAAATGTCCAGATAGCTAGTTTGGCAATGGGGTTTGTTGCATAGTTATATGTAACTGAACATGTAGGACATGTAGAACATGTAGGGTTACTGTAAAACTGGTAGACATTTTTAATAAACACAAATATATACATTCAGAGAAAGCTGGCGCCCCCTGTGGAACAGAGTGATATTTATTTTAGCACTCAGTGGTTACCTCAAAGAACTGCTGGTATAACAATAGGCCCTGCTGTCAATCTGTCAGGAGCTGAAGATCCTGGTGGACTATGATGACAATGGCTACCTGCTCCAGATCTTCACCAAACCTGTGCAGGATCGTCCCACTGTCTTCCTGGAGGTGATCCAGAGACACAACCATCAGGTGAGGTGCCAGTGTTCGGGGAGAGAGGCAGGAGAAGAGTGTAAAAAGGGTAGAAGTGCACTCTTTTTTTTTCTTAGTATTTTTCACACTTTGTGCTTTTCTCCATCACAAATCTGATCTGTTCTTTTACTTTTACTAAAGAGTGTTTGTTCAGAAAATATATACCCCCCACACACACACACACTTTTTCCAAAAGCACTCATTCCCTTCAGCATCATCTGTTCTGACATATCCAAATGCTTAACTTTGGCCAAGTACTGGAAAGTCACAGGATGAATCCACTGCAGGCGCTCCACTTTGATAAGAATATATGCTGCCCATTTGTTCCTTTTCGTGTGAAAAGGGCTTTGCAAATAGGGAAGCGTGTGTCAGCAGTAAAGCACGGCCAGACAGAACAGCCTGGAACTGTGTGTTTATGAATGACAAAGGAGATCTGAATGAAATCTTAAGATTTAAAGTGCATTCAGGAACGGGGAGCGAGGAGTAGGAGACGTCTCTGCTGCAGGGTTGAGAATCGTGACTGACGGCTCCTTTCACTCACTGGCAAAACGAAGCTAATCCAAATTATCCAGACAACACGCATCAACAACAACGAGAGGCCCTCAAAGCCGTAACGATGAGGCTGCAGTCGGTTTTAACGGTCGCCTTGCTTGCGATTGCAGGGTTTCGGCGCTGGCAATTTCAAGTCCCTCTTCGAGGCCATCGAGGCCGACCAGAACGCCAGGGGGAACTTGACGGTTCTGACCCCCAACGGCGTGTCGGAATCTCTCTGATTCCAGCAGATGCGCTCCCACAATGCACCTCTCTCCCCCACTGCACAAACAAACAAGCGAATCCAGAGACGGGTGGTTTACAAGGCCACTGAAGAAAGGGATCTTCCTCCTTACTATTTTGTAATGACTCACTTGTTTTGTTGTGAATTACAGTTTTTTGTGGTGTTATAATCTGCTGCTTATAAGTCCACACTGACACCAAAAAATCAGTACAATTCAAAGCTAGGAGCCTTTCTTAACTTGACCAACATGTCAAGATTAACATCTTCTGAAATGTGACCACCCTGAAAAGGATGGAGGTTGGATTGGAAAAAGAATTCCAAGATTTGGTGTTTACCAGTTACGTGTTTGTGCATAAACATTTTACACTAAAAGTGACATTTTACCACTTGAATAGCTAGCCTTTGAGCAAATAATTAGTATATTACAGCACATAAGTACAAGAAGAATATTACAGCACAATTTGTGCCGTATTTCAATAAAATATTTACAAACATTTATTGAAATTGCAGGTATCCTCAATTTCCATGCTGAAACCATTAACAACAGCATTGTGATGGCACAGAGGACTTACTAAATTTGATGCTGCATTTATCCCTACAATGTTCTATGATTCATTTATAACTGTATTTCCAAGAATTATCAGTAAGGACAATGTTGTACTATTAGAGTGTTGAAAAACAAAGTTTTGTTTTCAAATAGGAGGCAGACTTTAATTTAACAATTTGTGATTGTGAAAAGGCATATGTTAAAGTGCTATGATTAATATCAGGCTGTCTGTTAGGGCATTAGTATAACCTTTAAAAAAGACTATTGAAATGGTGGTTTTTGTTGTGCTGATATATATAAACTTGTTAGTGCTTCTAGAAATACTCATTTTGGGCAAGTAAGCAAGTAATCACATGGAACTGCCTTCTAGAAACAAGAGCGCTCATCTTTTACACAATAAATCAAGATACCAGCAGTGTAGGAGACATGTCCACTAATGTTGTTTTTATGAGACGAGGTAT